TTTTTTTTTTTTTTTTTTTTAAATTGTATCATGAGATTCGGTTATGTCTTATTGTCTCAGTCTAAAGTAGAAATTATCTAGTGATAGTCCAAAAAATACAACCTGACATCGAAAGCTCAACAAATGGATATATTCTCTGCCTGAGTTTGTGCAAACTCTGAAAAGTGATTCTTAAAATATGCTAAAAGCTATTTTATTAATTCTTTAGTTTTAGAGAGAAGTTAGAATGTTAATCAACATTTTAATACATGACAAATGAATTAATACATGACAAATGAATAAAATGTTAATCAACATATGCAGGATAAGTGTTAAAAAAAATTAATATACCTCATAAAACCATATCTTCGCATGTATCAACATGAAGGTGCTAGCAGCTAAAATTAATTCTTTTTATTTTATTTTTATACTTAGTTCACTATTACTTTGGTTTTAAGAAGGTAGTAGCTGTGGAGCGGTGAGTACACCGGGAATTGCTTGCTTTAATTAATATAACCATATCTTCGCAATCGCATGTATCAACATGAGGGTAAAGTATATTAATATTGTTGCATGGATAATGGGCTACATATGAAATCAAGAATATAAATCTATACTTAAAAATTAATAACCATTGAACTTTATCTTGTTCCTCACGCTTTAATCTCACTTAATGACGACGGATTTTGGCATGAAAGCCTAAAAGAAATCAACTTTTGGATTAATATTCGCTAGTTTAATTTATATTATGCAAAGTGTATAATCTTGGCGTGTCAAAATGTTATTTGAATCCATAAAACCAGATTGCATAAATAGATTACAATCATAACACACACACACACACATAACACACACACACACACACAAAAACACTGCAATTCTTTTCCTTCATTTAAGTTTTTTATTTTTTTAATCAATTATGACACCAGGAAGAGCATGTATTTGTAGCAATTGATGGATATACTTTTGAACGAAAAATATATATATATTTCTATTGTAAAATATTATATTTTATTAGATTTAAAATATATTTTAAAAATATATGAAATCTCTCTTTATAGCAATGTGCACACTAGCTTCATAATATATATACATCTTGTTTTTGACTCATTAGAATTCTATTTTTATTGTTTTGCAAGTAACAATCTGAAGTAGCCTTTTGAATTCTAACAAATAATTAAAAAAAAAAACTCAATATAATTTTTTTTTTTTATAATATTAATTACTCATCTATGCATAAAAACTATTTGAATCAGTTACTCAAAGGTACTAATTCAATTCATATTTAATATTACTTATCAATTAAGTGAAAAACATGACCCTAATCTAAGTGAAAATGGAAAAAGGGAAAACAACCTATCACAATAGGATATGGTCATTTCGGTCATCTATACTTATATTAAAAGGTATACCATTTACCAGATTTAGTATAAAGAAAAGTCAACAACATTTATTGCATTACTATTTCCGTATTACACAATCTATACTTATATAAAAGGAGATTCTATTTACTACATTTACTATCCAGAAAAGTCAACTGCATTAAATGTCATTACTATTTTGGTATTATAATATTTTATTTATTTAATTGATTTATTTATTTATTTATTTTAAAAAGGTAAGTATAATAAAAAGATTTTAATAATAAAAAAATCAAAGACCAAATAAAAATGTATACTTTGACTTATTTGATTATATTTGGTATTTGATTATACCAAATATATTCCTATTTAGTATATACATTAAATACTTACTAAAGTATTTATTTGTTTTATTTGTCAAAGTTAAGTATAGATTTGTTTATATTATCAAATCATAAAAAACTATTAAATCCATATTGTAAAAAAAAAATTATATAATTTTATAACAATTCTACTACACTATTTAACAATATTTCTTTTCATTATATAATAAAATAATAATTAAATATTATATGGTGAACAACAATAAGTAAAACTGTTACTTTCTCTTATATCAAGGGATAAATTTATATGCAAAAATTAAATTTTTATTAGTATAAATGTTTTAGTGAGATAATATATTAATTATTTTACAAGCTAACCCTAATATGCTCATATTTAATGTTTTAAAAGATGTAGAAAAAAAACTTATAATAACTCTATTGTTTTTTAGACTTAAACGTTGATTAAAAGAGGTAAAAATTTCTAATTTTTTAGACTTAAACGTTGATTAACACCATAGATTGAGAGTTTATATTTAGTAAAATTCCTAATTGTAATAAAAAAATTAATTTTTGCTCTATTCTAGAATATCTTTAAATTCATTATAAAAAAAAAGAAAAAAAACTACAATGAAAAAAACAAGTCAGCTATATATCGATTTGTTGTACTCCTCAAATCACATTCACAATTTGGCTACAAGGAAAGGAAACTCATTGATTAAAATATTATTTTGTCAGTAGTCTTAATGTACAACAGACTTTAAGACTCCACTTGAATATTATAAAACTTTTATTGAACATTGTACAATTTTCTTGCGTATTATAAACTTTTATTGAATATTGCATCTTATAATATAATATTCTCCAAATAAATATATCTCGTGCTTTGCACGGGTCACGTACTATATATATCCCGTACATTTTTCTTTATTCATGTATATAATTATAAGCCTGGATAAATAGCATTAAAATTGTGCACCCCGTGCATCGCACGGACTCTGTACTAGTTAGCTATTAACTAAAAGCAAATAACTAGTTTGACTAGCAAGTTAAATTAAAGGTTTGTAAATGAATGTTTGATAAATAGCAATTTGTATAGTTGTTCTGAAAACCTTATATTGCGGTATCTTTTGTGAATCTTCTCTATTCAAATAGCTCACTTTATAAAAATCAAGAGAGAAGATGATCTGTTCTTTTTCATGAATCAATCTATCGTTTCGAAAAACAAAAAAAAAACTAGTTAACAACAATATAACTCATGCTCCCCAATTTTTTTTTATTCCTTTCAAGTCCAAATCTCTCGTAAATACAACTATTTCTAAAACACAAAATTTATTACATCATCATCATATTATTATTATTATTGATTGGTCGGAAAAAATGTGTATTTTATATATTTATTAGCGTATTTTTATATGCTTAATTTTGTCGCACTTATATATCTTTCGACTTATTTATTTGTTAGATGAATTCTGGTGCTTTGATATTTTTATTGTTTATTTTTAGGATATTGGAGTGTTTTTATGGACGACGAGACGTCGAAGGAAGGTTGAAGTAGGCAGTACGGAGGAGCCCCAATTATCATCATCATCATCATCATCATCATTCATTCATTTATTCATTCATTCATGGCCTCCATTGATCAACAAATAGGAGAAATGTAGAGTAACATTTGAATCATTCTTTCCTAATCCTTCTTCTCAATGAACTTAATTAATCCTAAAGAATGAACTGAAAACACACATACACACACAAAACTAAACTGCAAATCAAATGAATGTCACAATACTCACAACATGGCAGCTAATAATAATAAACTTTAGAAGCTTAGTTTAGCTTCACAATAGAGTAAGTATTCCATATATCATATTCATAATCCAATGGTACAATTGCAAATTATAGTAAGAAAAGAAGGAAAAAAAAAAAACATTACACTTAGATACAGTTTTATGATTTCCCTTCTAACCTTTCATATTCTTTTGGGAACTTTTAAGGCCGGCCGATTAAGTGAGACTCAGTTATAATAAAACTCGGATACTCAGTTGAATTTTTCTGCTGAAATTGTGGACTAATAAAACCGGCACTTACAAACATAATCAGACATTCTGGGTTCGGGCAGGTCGGGCAGAGGCCACAAGGAGGCCTCCACGACTTTGGGCTGCCCGGACAAGAATCGCCAACCGGGCAGCCGCTAGAGCTGCCGCCTCCTATTTCAGTCAGATTCGAGAAAATTGTCAAAAATCAAAATATATAAGTAAATATTGTTTTAATATAAAATCAGAATCTCACTAACAACTAACCATATAACCTTTTTCAAAATTAACTCTGGTTAACCAAAAAAACTCGTTTTTGAGCAGATATATTTGTATATAAACACGCCCTTAAAGCGAGACAAAATGAGCGGTTCTAAAAAAGTTGTCTTGTCTTGTTTTGCTTTTCTTGATTTCGGTTATTCGTTTTTTTTCCTTCTTTCGAGAAAAAGAGAGTAAATCGAAATGAATTTGAAATTGCCATATC